TTTTTAAGAAATCAATGAATGATGTCTAAGCTTTTGTCTACTTAGAAAAGTGTACAAAAGAATTATATATAAATATTATTAAACCGACTTAATAGACTTAATTACGAAAAATAGAAAAGTAATATTTTTATCATTATTAAATTAAAATTGTTTGTCTTTTTTGAGTGTTTTAAGTAAATACAAGATTATTTTTCTGATAATAATGTTCTAATAAAAACTATCAATCCAATTATCAGCTGTAAAATGCATTTTAATTTACATATGCGAACCAACTCAATTAAAACAGATTAAATAGTTCTCGTCCATTGGCTCAATTCAGGCAATTGTGTGTACCCATTCCATATCCTCGTAGTGTTGTTCCTGATGTAGTATAAAATTCTAATTTATGCACTCTTTGTGGAATAATGTGTCTGCAAAGTTATTTTCTAAAGTTTTCACATAAACTTGAATTAATTATTTATCAACTCTGAAATGTATTCCCTCTACTCAAATTGTCTTTGGAAGTATTAGCAACATTTTCTAATGGACAAGAAATAACAATGTTATATTGAATAGGGAATAAAACTTTTTTACTTTTTAATTCTTTTATTTTTAAATTTAATTTAATTGCAACTGTCAAATGCATATAAGTCAGTAATTATATAATTAAAAAAATAAATTTTCTCTTGACAGACAGGCAAGTAATCCCTTGTGGATTTCTGAAATTATATCAAATGGGTAAAAAAATTTTAAAAAAATATATATAATTTTTAAGTCTAATAAATGTCTTTAAGTGGATATATTTATACACATACTTAAGTATACCTCAAAGGAATATTTGGTCCATAAGTGGGAACACTGGAGCCCATCTAAACCATGATAGTGACGTGATTATATATATTCATAAAAACCTGAATATATTTCTTAAATTTGAAGATGCGTATTATATATTTGTAAAGTAGATATAAAATAAACTATCAAATAGCTTATAAAATTGGTTTTAAGCAGAGTATAAAGACACCAGATTACTGCTAGCTTTACTGATGCTTTTATCATTTTTCAAGTCAATTAATGTTTCTGAAATGAATCCCTGGTAATAATTATTAGTGTTATTAATACTTTTAGTAAAAACTTATGCAGAATGGAATCAAATGCCCTTAATATTATATTCTGGACCTAATTTCTAATTGACTGATCAAATAGAGATGTATCACAAAAAATAAGAGAAAAAAGAAGAGAATACTCGATTTTCATATTTTCCGAAAATCGAAAAGTACATTTATTCATCTTCAGTTTCCCTATTATTATCTAACGAAATTTGTTTTCAAATGGAACTAAATAAAAACGATTAGATAAAATTTTTAAAAGAAAGAAATTGGAAATTCTATAATTATAGTTGCCATATGTTTCTAGTTTTTTGTCTTTCTATAGGCAATATGAGTTTTCAGTAAATGTGAGTCGAAAAATAATCCAACTACTTTGTTTAAATGAAAGAAATAGCTAATTCTACTTTACGTTTCTGTTTTTTAATAATTAAAATTAAAATAAAAATTTATATTTAAATTTTTTTTTAAAATTTAAATTATATTTCACCCAACGTTTAGCGGGAGAAATTCCGAAACAATTTTTTATGCATTCGCTTAGATCAAACCTATGTGTTATAAAACCGCATAGAATGCTTTTACATAGATCAAGATCTATATGCCATGCAGAATGCATCATCTGTAGAAGTGGAAAAATGTTAGGTTAGACTTAATTATTATTGCACATAAAATACATAATGCTACCCATATTTGCATTCACTATTAATACGTTTTAGCTACGTTTAGTTTTAGCTATTTCCTTGAGGAAGTTTATTAATAGGTTAAGTGGAAATGCTGAGTGTTAATACAAATATCAATAAGTCCAATTGACAACTTCTATTATCAAGTGTGATACAAATAAATTTCGCAGGGAAAGGCAAATAACAATAACTAGTATTACTCAATAAAACCCAAAATAGTTCATTTCTTGTTTGGAAATGTAAAAACAAATCTGCCACTGTTCTCGATATTATAGCTTTAACAAAAAATTATAATAGGGATTATCTGTTCAACTGTCACTTTATCATACAATGACTTGTTATTGCAATTACATTGGTAATATTATTAATGAATTTTAAATTTTTCCTTTTCAATTTTAGATAAAATTTTTGGATACTTGATAGATACCTTGTGCCTATCAACAACCCATTTACATGATGTAAAAATCCATACTTCGGTTTAAGTTTCTTTAACTCAACTAAATTTATTTTTCCGATTAAGGTTTCTTTTTATAAATGCTGGTAACTGATAAATTCATTTATGTATAATATATATCATCACTATACAGTCTATATTCGGTATTCGCTTGCAGAAAGATTTGACTCTATTTATCCGTATTTTTTTGCAACAGTTCAATAATTTCTCACTTTATTGTCTGCAACATCAGGGTCGGTACATCCAAGAAGAAGAATCCATTTTTCTCAGTCGCTCCGCTTTTTATAGCTCATTGCAAAGAACAAATTTCATCTTGAGTAGTAATTACGTACTCAGTTGTCTATCCGTTGAACCTCAATCTTTTGATTGTTATTGTAGAGTCAATTTCCGGTTTCTCATACAAGCTTAGATGACTTGTTTTTGTATGAGTGTCTCCAATGACCAGACCATTCCTCTTAACACTTTTCTTCCGAATGCATTCAATTTGCTAATTTAGTTTTTTTTTTTTTTCAGAACCATGCTTTACTTGCGTACATTAAAAATCGTAAAATTTAACTTTTGTTTGTCTATTTAGTCTCTGACTCCTAAGATGGTTAGATATGCGATAAAATGTAAATTATATCGACAAATTTATCATCAAATTACATTAAAAACTTACAAAAATAAAAACAAAAACAAATTTGTTGATAAATTTATCTAATATAAATTAAATATTCCTGTTACCTTTGGAGTAAAGAATTTATGAGGTCCTGCGGCGATCTTATAATTTCGAACATTCTTTTGTGTTGAAAAATTCTTAACACATACACAGTGAAAATAAAGGTCCTTTAAATATTTTTCATACCTTATCGGCATTGTTTATTTTTCTCCTTCTTTAGCTTATTTCCTTTTTATCGCACAATTTGCTGCCTTCCGTTGTTCCCTTTAAGTTGCGTGTTGGCTGCGTAAAATTGTTAATGAGTTTAAAAATGTTCCTGAGGGCAACTTTTTAGCTAAACTTTTGAAGAGCACTACGAAGTGAGTGGAACGGAAATTATTTGGGGAAATCACACAGCAAAAAAGCTTCATAAAGGATACTTTAAACGGATAAATTAAAATTTGATTGCAATTAAAGCGTTTAAATTTCCAACAGTTTTCAATAAATAAAAAAGTATTTATATTTTACTTAAAAAAATATATATATTTTAATTTGAAATTAATTAATTTCATTTCAATTCATCAAAAAAAAAAGCAATTTATTGCCGTTTTTTTATTTAATAAGAAAGAGTCTTCTGGTATGTCGTGATATTACATGTTGTTGTATTATGATTTAATTGGAATATTTTCAAAAATAATATAAATAATAGTATCAGAATCCTAATTACAGAGATTATTAATGTTTTCATTAAAAAAAATATCTTTAAGCTATTATTTTAATCAAATCAATCAGAAATTAATTAATTTTGCTTTACTTGGATTGAATTTTATGTTTAATTTTGTCAACAATTTTTATGTTACTTTTAATGAAATACCATTCGCTTACCAGCGCGCTTCGGCACTGGAGCAATTGTGCTGGAATAGAATGAGTTATAAGAAAGTTCAAATAATTGAACAATTCCGAAGGATGCCATTGTCATTGCTGAAATCTGTCACAAATCAAAGCCAGCAAAATGGCGGCCATATTAATTTTTATGCTCTTTAGGCGTTTTAGGCGCTTTCAGTTCAATGCATTAATGGCTTGGATAGCTATACAATGATGGCGTATTCGGCAAAACGACAATAAGGAAGATAAAGTGCAAAGCAAAAAACATGATGGAAAAGTGTCAGAAAGTGATAATAAATTTACAGAGCAATCTTAGAGGCGTTAGTTGCAGAGCTTATTTCACTTTATGTGTCATTTCGCTATTAAAAACATACAAAAAAGGATATCCAGAAGGAAAGATTCGTTAAATAGGACAATAAATGCCAATGATATTGCAACATTTGTCATTTTATTGATTTAAGCCGATTGAGAAATGTAATAAGTACAAATAAAATAAGCTAATTAATTAATTAAAATGATTAAATCTATTTGAGTAAGGATTTTTGAATATACTTGTTCCATTCAGTGTTAAAAT